TATGTGAATACCATGCTAAATTTAATCCTCAAAGCTTCTACAGTTTTCTCCCGTACATTTCTGCTGTTATTGAAAACCGCCTGATGCTACGTTCACACCGCAAGCAGCAGAAGCAGCAGAAGCAGATTTCATCCGCCATTGTTCCAGGCAAAGAAAGGATAGGGTAGCTCCGCCCAACGCGCATCAGCTAGAGGAGCAAAGATGCTTCAGCATCTGAACGTAGCATCAGGCCTTCGTTTCCATGGAGATGAACTAAAACAGGTTTATTCAGCTACATTTTTACAGGTGGTTTAATTGGCTGTCCTGTTTTTGGTTTTCTTTTTTTTGTGGTATTTAAGTAAAGGAAACTGAAAAGAAATCAAAATATTTTAGACAGTAATGAAGGACTTTTTGTTGCTCTAATAAAACAAATTAAAAGTTGTGGTTTTAACGTAAAACAATGAGAAAAACTGGAGTTTTATTTCTTTACAAATTGTTGATACCATAATGGCAGACATGGTTAATCCAAGAGGTAGAGCCTATCGAACGTCAGAGTGTGGTATAATAATTATAAATATACCCCCCCCCCACCTTATTTCAATATTATTAATCAAAATCAAGGTTTTTCTCTCTTGGATCTGGGAGGAAGTTATGGAAGGAGCTCATCTATATGGCGCTATACAATATGTCCGCCCTGTATTGTCTGTTTTTATTTATAGATTCTTACTATAACAAAGGTGGAAGATGAGGTCAGAGGATGGGGGGGTGGACAGACAAATGGGGAAAAGGAGAGAAAGGAAAGGGAGGAGGTTGGGTTCTGTGTGTGAATGCATTTTTGGGTTATCCTGTGTCCACCTGAATGAATGTCTGTGGAAGCCAAGTCTGCTGTTTATTCACAGAGTGGGAGAGGCTCAGGAAACGGCCAACAGCAGCTTCCTGGGGAAAAAGTCTAAGAGCCCATCCCTGAGTTCTATAGGAGGAAATGAGGCTTTCTGGGCGGCGTCCAAACAGGAACCCTGGAAGTGGAACTGCCCAGAGGAAACACGACATTTTAGAGGTACTTCATATTAGAACGAATCGATCTTCTCTGGAATGCCAGCCTGACCCAAAGAGATGAAACAGGCGACAAACTCAACAATTTTCAGTTTTTAAACATGACAGGAAGAAAGGAAGCGACGACAAAGGAACTGACCCCCAGATGACTCCTGCAAATCTACATACACACATATACATATATAGCTGTGTATTCTCATAAATCAATAGAATTT